TAATAGAGAAGAGTCGCTACAAATTAATATGAAGTTATTCTGGGTGATCAACTTAATCCTACAATAAATCCAGATGAAAGTGGTCGCTTATATGACCAAAGTTCCCCCATCCATATAGCAGAAAGGGTCGCTCGGATGCCTTGATAAGTATGAAAGTGATGTGAATAATATGTCACGATTTCAACCAAAGTAAAACCCCAGAGATTTAAGGCTGACTGTGTGGGGCAGCACTCTCCATCATGAACTGACGTAAGATTTTTGCTGGAGAAAGGTGCTCCATCGTTTCAGTAAGCCCCAGAGACTTGGTAGAATCTATGTCAAGGTGTACTGAAGCTATAGTGGGAGAACAATGGCGGAGCACACCTTACAATGACACCTTATGTTGGTTTTTCTTTCAATTTATCACCAGTCTGGTAGAGCAAAAAAGAAAAGTTGACTCAATCTTACACTTTCTTGGAATAAATTCTTGCTAACATTATAATATATTAGTACCACTTCAGACTCCATCTCTTGAGGTTCATTAGTGCCAACGGCAAGACTTTGCAACTTTTATTCAGAGAAGCACTCCTCCCCATTTCTTTTTTCAAAGTCCAATGGGGAACTGAAATCAGCAAATACTGCAGGCAGGTGCACGTCTATATGAAGGAGAACAGTGAAATAACTTTATGATTGAGCCTAAAGTGTTGAAGAAGTTTATGTGCAAGAAAGGGAAGAAAGTAATCTTAACTGATTAGAGAAAAAAAAATTGATGTTGCTTTTTTAAGCTATTTACTTAAAATAACTGGGGGTGGGGGGTTTAAAGAGCCAAACCAATGACACATTCTCACACAAACACATCCTCCCCATTGCACTTAAGGCAAATGAATGCAAGATAAAACCAATAACACAGTCTAATATAAACAGCCTCGGCCTTAAAAGCATTAGTGCCACATCTGCATGCACTCAGTACTGGTGTGTTGTGACAATCTCCCACAGCCACTACATGATGACAGAAAGAAAGGGAGTGCGTGAGAGTGAGATGTATTTCATTAAATCATTTTGTTGCATTTCTTTTTTTTTTTTTTTTTTTTTTTGGCCAATCAAATAAGCTCACTGAATCAAATAAAGGAAGAGAGAGAATAGGCCAGTTGGTTGACATGTCACATAGTTTGCAAGGTATCATGCAGAGTAATAGACAACTGCAGATTGCAGATTGCATTACCTTCCACCTAGCACAGAAAAGTTGAGTCTGAAAGAGTATTTTAGTACTATAACTTGAGACAAAATGATTGCAATCAAACATTCATTCATTGAATGGGAATGGTCTGTAAGCTGTGCAACACTGAAGCCAATGGAGTGTAGGGCTGTTCGATATAACGATATATATCGGATGACGATATACAAAAGTCTATCGTTTCCTTTTACGCTATCGTTTGTTTCATGGTATCGCAAAATAAACTGTTTACGGCAATATTTTTTTCATCGTTTTGATGGTCACTGTAGTGGCTATATTAATTTCTTAAAGTTCTCTCTTTCTCTTATATTTAATATAACCACACTACAGACGGACAAGCGCCTGTTTTTATGGGTTGTCGTTAGCAACAACGACGGTTACACCATTGCATGTCCGCTTGTTTATTTTCCACATAAACCTTTCACAATAAAGCTCAAGATCCTGTTGAGAATTTTCAAAATAAACAGAATCACTTGAAAAAGTATGCAGAGTATTGACAGATGAGAAGCAAAAAAAGAGTCGTCAGGTGCTAAAAAATAAACCTTAGACTCAAACGTTAGAACAGGCTTTCCCCGCAGCACGCCGTGTAATAAATACACACAAAGAAAACGGCGGCTGTTACAACCTGTCTAAAAATGTGTAGTTTCATGCATCGGTTAAAACACTTGACTCCAGGTACAAGACGCCCAGCTGGAAATACTTCACCTACCCGAGATTCACAGAATTTACAGAAAATATTACATTTTTTGTGATTTATATCGTTATCGGACGATAGATGTTTTATATTGGGATATGAGATTTTGGTCATATCGCACAGCCCTAATGGAGTGTTTTCCTGCAGTCTTAAAAGAAGACCCCCTGCCAAGGGAAGCTGACTGTGTGAAGCTGAACAAAAAGCCCTTATTTGAGATTACACTACAGCCACATGTTTACAGTCAGTTAGCTATAAATAGAAAGAAACTGGGAGAGCCAGATGGAGAGATGCAGAAAGAGAGAAGGACAAAGAAACAAAGAGAAAGGCTGTGGCGTTAGACGTCTAATTCAGGGTGATTCAGTCTGTCACCACCTACAGAGCCTGCCCATCCTCATAAAAACAATGATTCTGACTTGGCTCACCAACAACGCAACATGACATTTAGCTCCTAACCCTACCATAGAACTCCCACACATACACAAAGCATTACGAAGAAAGGAGGCCAAAATTTAACACAGATACAACAAACAGATACAACGATGCCGACAAACAAAGTCTTGATGACATTTACACTTAAATATCAGCATGAAGCATAATCAAACGCGCACATTATCCCTTATACACTCAAAGAAAATTAGGCCGAAACATAATAAGTGAATCTGCAAATACAAAAAGACGTGCAGAGACAATAAGGTGTTTCTAAGCACCACAGTGAACAAATGATCAGTTACGTGATGATCCTGTAATCACATTAGTGATAAAAATCCAATTAAGTCCTGATTATACATCAGCCTCTTTCCTCTCTACAAGAGCCCTATAGAACCACCACCAAGGATGATGGGAAAATGAATAAGTCATTCCCTTTCTAAGCTGCCAGCTCTACAAAGTCTTGCCTAACTCATACCCTCACATAACACACACTACACTGTCAGAGAGCAGATACTGCACATAGCCCGTATATCATCATTTTCTCATAGCACCCACTCAGGAGAGACTAAAATAAAACTTATTTGGGTGCTTCTGTAAAACAATGACTGAAGATGTACTCCTACAAAATCTAATTCCAGACGGTGGATAACACTAAATTTCTTCCAGTCATCCAGCACTTTTCTGTCCATAACATCATGCTACACTAGCTTTACTCCTTTCTTTGTTAGTGTCTCCCACACACGCTCCTAGCTTTCACCGTGTTTAGGAAATTAGTATTTGTATCATTTCTCCCTAAACTTGCAGCCAACTATAACCACCACCCTTGGAATACCTGCCTCCCACATCCACACTGCAGGGAAAAAAAACAGAACCCTCCGCTTTTGGAGAAAAGTGCCACAGGCTTTGTTGGGGTGAGGTAAGTGGGATTTTCTTAGAGCCCACTCTTCAAAATGAGTCTGCATGCAATTCTCTTTCATTTTCCAGGACCTTAGCTTAATTTCGTGTGCACTTAACTGACAATCTGCCATACGGGATCATAGATTTCGCAAACCCAGAGTCATCTTAGAGGATTCATTTCTCTGCCTTCTGCCAGCATCTCTTCATTTGACGTAATCAGTAATTAACAGAAAGTAGAAAACTAAACATCTATCCTTTAATTAAGTGGTATTATAGGCAGAGGCTCGAAATGTTTCTGTAGCTGGGTGAAATGAGGGCAACAGTGATAAACAGAAGGCAGGAACTGATTAAACTTTCTTTTCCTAGGGAAAGTGATCACATTCGAGGAATATGAGAGAAAGAAGAATTACCTCATTCTGAGAGAGATACTTTTTTGGCTCTAGAGTATATATATCTGTATTTTGTGAGCAGTATATTGATGGGTTCATTTTACCCAATTCATTCTATCCAGAACTTACAGAATCGTTTTACAGTATAAGTGTTAGGGGCCAATATACCAAAGCCTTCTTTTATCCTGCACTACAATAGTTTTATACTTTAAGCCTGAAGCTACTGCAGTATCTACATAAATACTAAAGTAACTGCACATTTAAAAATAACTTAAGTTCCTCAGAGAGGCTCAACGTTTGGTCACATGGATGTGATCTATTATAATGGACGTAAAGAGCATTTCCTATTGACACAAGTCCAATCTTGTCCAGATTGTCAAAAAACCCGAACTACAACTATTTGCTAGGATAAAAGACTAAAAACTTCTGGCTTTGCACTCCAGACAAAACCATCTTTGACAATAAAAAAGGCAGGAGAGATAAGCCCGATTTAATTTCGCAAACCTCTCTTTCAGAGAATCCTCTTTAGTTGAGGTGGGTAGAGGTGGGACGGGAATATGCAGAACCTCCTACGCACATTCGTAAGAAGTAATCCATAGGGCTGTTCACTGGCGTGTGCATGTGTGTGTGTAACACTCCAGCAGCTCCACACAGACACATGCAAATGAAGTAAAGTCTCAAGTGAAGCAACAAGGGGAAAGGGGACCAAATAGCGACTCGCTGTCAAGTGCTGAGCACAAATATGAAAAAGCTTAGCCTCTGAAGCATTTTGATATGTGAGGGACCTAATATGCTGAAAGAACAATAAGTCACTTCTCTGTCTCTCCTCCTCATTCTTCACCCTCTGACAGTTGTTTTTTTTTCCCTCTCCCATATCTCAAAACTGTGTGATACAACAGTTTAATTAAATAAAATGACTTGGCAAGACCACAAACAGCAACTGAAGTGCTAGCAATAAAATTAAACTAGCTACATCATAATTAAACAGAGCCACCGTCCTTCAGACCCTAAAATATCACCCTTATTATTGCCGTCTATTCCTACCACTGTTCTGCAAACACGAGTATGTGCCAGCATGGTAAGAAATCATGCATGCCCCACTTAAGCTACAAGAAATGGGAAGAGGCCAGATTTTAGCAATCCACTGAAAAAAAGAAAATATTGTCTAAGTGTCAGGCTCTCTGATGCACACTTGCTTTGTAAGCCTGAGACTTGCAAGACTTTGCTGTAACAAACCATGGCTGTGTATAGTAAAGTAAAATCTAGTAGGTAGGTGGTATATAGGAGAGAAACTAATCCAAACAGACATATGCGGCATATATAGGATAACATTTTAGACAATGTAATAGAGGGAAGGAGTAAGAGACGTAGAACTTACATGGCCATGGTTGATGAATCCATGTTCCCTGGCGATGCGATCAGCTTCCCCAGGGCCCCCATTGATCTGGACAGCCCACGTGTTGGTATAGACCTTTGCAGCATCAATCCAATTCAGTTCAGCTGTCAGCAGGACAAAGACTGTCCACAAGAGAAGTAGGGCCACCCTGGCATCCATTAAAAGGACAACTTCACAGCGCAGTTTATCTGTCCGTCTGTTGCTGTGTCCCAGGCAGAGTGGGGATGCTCCACCTTACAGCAGCAAAGTAGAACACTGGCCTGGAGATGAGAGGACAGAGCAAACTATAAACACAAACATGGCCTTCTTAACTGGGTCACTCTTGGGTTTGAATTACCTACCGCAGACACCGTTCACAAAAACAAACCCAGAACTGCATCAAAAATAGACACCACACCCACAGACTTTATCAAGCATGAAACTTACAGTCTGCTGTCAGACTCTGAGAAGAAGACCACATCTTAATAAATGTGCAAAGCATAAATATTAGGTCAGAAACAGACAAGGGCTGTGCCAAAAACTAAATCATTTTCCAATTCTCTTTCATTTTTTTTGAGACTTGAAATGGTAATGTATGATAATGATATACAGTAGGCATGTTGCTGCAATACAGGAAGAGCTCCTAGCAAACCAATATACAGCTACTGGCAAAAAGAGGGGAAACGTGTCTGAGGAAGAAAATATTTAAATTTTACTCATGCACTGCTCTTCATTATAAGGTATTCCATTTTTTTAAATAACAGACTGCTTATTAGGTATGAAAAGGTACTTTCAACACATTTAACAGAATAGTAAAATAAGCACGCTAAAAAGGACCATTATTTGAGCAGATGTTCAAATGAGCAAGATTTTCAACTGATATCGTCTGCTGCTCTTTGATTTGTAGCTCTTTGGATCATAAAAAAGGGGCCTGTAAGTCAAACATAAAAAGGAAAGCTTTAAGGTAAGTTAACTGACTCAGAGTGTGAAGACAGATAAGGTGTGGTTATCTGCTAAGTATATCAGCTCATCCTAAGAGAACAGGAGATAGAGACCATACAGGCCTAAACGGCTCACTGGTAACGCTGCTGATCACACAAAAATGATATCAAATGTATCAATCCACACAACACACTTAACCGATGTGGAAAAAAAAACCAACTCAGATGTTGTAAATTTGCTGAATTTGCAGTGTAGACCCCCCAATTTGGTACACTTCCATTTAGAATAGTTATGTCAACATTTCTGGACATCAGGATTTTTAGATTTAAAGTATAAAACTGTTAAGTTAGCTGTTCATTGCCTTAGAAACCCTAAAAAGACAAAAAAAGGGGAACACTTGATCATCACAGTATAATACAAAGTCACTAAACTAGTCATTACTTCAGTGTTATCCATCTGTTCAGTTAGAAGGCATACACACATGTGACAGACCAAGGACTGGGGATGCCGTGGCATTTGTCACACGTGGTCAATGCAAAGTTTCTTTCATCTGTGAAGAGAACAGGGTGCCAATGACGGACCTGCCAGTTCTGGAGCTCTCAGGCGAATGCCAATTGAGCTGCACTGCGCGGTGCTGTCAGGAGCTCATGCCACCCTCATTGAGTCCAAGTCTTTGTACGTTTCTGACAGTCTGGTCAGAAACATACACAAGTAGCCTGCTGGAGGTCATTTTGTAGGGCTCTGGTGCTGCTCCTGCTGTTTCTACGACCCTCTTCAGCTTGTCTTATGTAACGGCCTGTCTCCTTGTGTTTGTGGACAGACTTGTATCTCTGAGGTTTCACAGCCTTGCATTATACTGTGATGATCAAGTGCTTCCTTAATGTTTTTTTAGCAGCAGTCAAACTACAGTATACCTGGATACATGATCAAACTCTCTCAGCTCTCCAATACTCGTTCAAGTTGGTTGTGATCTGGCTTTTAAAACCCCAGCATACTTTACCTAGTGCCACCAGGTGCCTTTGAATAAGATAGTGACAGTCCAGATCCTTCAATAGTGCACATTTTCCTAGGTATACTTTCTTGGTGCACAACTTTTTAAAACACCTGGCAGGTAGGATGTTCAAAGCTTTAAAGAACTTGCTGTGTCTCTTGATGTTATCCTAAGATCATAGGATGAGGAGGCTACACCACTGGTTGCAGGACTACGTCTTATTTTTGAGCCCGAGGATGTGGTGGATAGAAAGATGGCAGTGGCTAAGAGCATTTGTAAGATGCCTTATGGAAAGTAATACCTGATCATGTCAAAAAGGGCAGAAGGTGGCACAATTTCTTGAATTATACAATTTATCTTTTGAATTCAGCCTTTTAGATTTACAATGCAACTAAAAACTTTTTTACTAAATCTGGGAAAGTTTCAGCCTCAAACCTTCAGTTTAGATTGAAAAAATAAATTCTATTTATTTCTCTGCTGGAAAAAAGTGGATTGCTCCCTACAGACAGGTTTGTTTTTTCCCCGAAGCGAAGGTATCTTGGCATTTTTTCACAAGTAATGGGTAAAAGGAGCAGTCGATCTACATTCAGACACTCATTTATGGTCATGAGTTCTGGGTAGTGATAGAAAAAAAATGAGGCTGTGGATGCAACTGACTGAAAATGTTTTCCTTTGCACAGGAGCTGGGCTCAGGCTTTCGGGTTACACTCATACCAAACTAATCGTACCACGGCAGGTCACGTTTAACCCCCAAAATTACAGTTTGTTTGACACGTGTGATTGCTCTGTGCTGTGCCCTGACCTGCTTGAAGAGGTGGGTCCAGGTGAGATTTAGTGGTCCTCACATAATAGGAGTACAAAATCTGCCCAAGAACAGTATGCAGTGTTTCATATAGCTACAGTGAAAAACGGTTTAGGCAATCAGCAAATGTTTGGTGCATGTGAGAAGACAGTGTGACACTACTTTCCCAATCAAGCCACAAAATCCTTGAAATCATGACCCCTTTTGTACTCTGCAAATGTGTTTTTCAAGTATGATATTTAAGTTTGAGTGAGCATGAGAAAGGGGATTTGAGATGCTGAGATGAACTGATGTGTACTCCGGTCCCAATCGTTAAATTCTGTGTATGCGCAGGCCAGTGAGAGAGCAGGGACTGTTGTGCTAGTGCACGCTACATGGCAGCCGTACCGAATGGAAGCACGCCCTTGGAGACGGAGTGGGAAGCTCGTACATCTGAGGGAGCTTGGAGTAGATCCACTACTCCTTCATGTTATAAGGAGCCAGCTCAGGTGGCTCATGCATTTCACAGAGAAAGCTACTCTAAGGACTTTGGGTTAGATCGAAATTCCTCCAGATACATTTTATATGTTATCTGGCCTGCGATAAACTCGGGATCCCCCAGGAGGAGTCTGGAAATGTTGCTGGGTAAAAGGAAGTCTGGGATATTCTGCTTAATGTGCTTCTACAATGATCCGACATTGGACAAGAGAAAGAAAATAAAGGACGGGTTAGTCGTAAACACAATTTTTTTTTATTTTGACCAAAATCCTTTCCTTGTTGACTGATAAGAAAAACCTCCCAACTCCAAATGATATGCTTTTAGCAGTAGGAATTTGGAGGCAACTGCTGTTTTTGCCGTAAACTCCTCACTTCCCCGAAAATACCCTCAATCCCTCAATCTTCCAAACAATTATCCCATTTACGCAGATTGCATAGATTCAAACTATTCAAAGAGTAGACGCTCGCTTCTGTGGCTTCACAAATGTGGTGTGGGTGTGATTTGAGCACAACAGGAGAAATGGTGGAAACATGACCATGGGCTGTCACTCTTCCTGTGGAGTATTTCTTCTGAGCTCATTAGACACTATGCTAGCACCACAAAAACAGGAGCAGGGGTCTGCTGTTACCGAGACGGCTGAGAGATGGAAGAATAGATGGAGAGCGAGAACAGGGGAAGAGAGAGAGGAGAGAGGTGGTACTGGTGGGGTCCCTCCCCCTCATACAGCACTGCGGAAAACAACAAGCACATTATAATACAACTCCCAAAACACCTTCTTTCAAAATGCAGCCTGGAGAGGAATTAACAAGTGGCTGCTTACTCTTACAATATACATCAAAGGCCTAAAAGTAAGCCGTAGCTTCAACCTTCACACCAAAGGAGAACTAAGACTTCAGAATCTAAACTACAATGAAAATACAAAATGAGTTGCATGACCTCGATTGAGATTAGTACAACGCTGAACCTTCAGTGGACGTGCAGGGGTGGATAAATGACCCGTGATTTGCTAAAATAACATGACAGATTTGAAATATTAACTGAGCACTTTCTGTTTCAAGCTATTGTCAAGACTTCTAAAAGCCGTTAAGTGGGCCCTTTTTTATAAGGAGGACGAGAAATCTTTTATTTTTTTCCCCAAAGTAATTTCTTACTGCTGAAACAGAGTAGGAGCAACAACTTCTGCCACGATGTTCTTTCTAGACGATTCAAAATCCTCTCTTATTCTTCAGCATCAGCAACTAAGTTGTCCTTCAAGAGGACGCATCACATCAGCCAATCCCTTGTTCTTGCTCAGTGGTCAGCAGAACTTTGCAGGCTCCGTTGAAGAAGCTTAGCACAGACTGACTCGTGTGCTTTGACTCACTCATTATTCAAGCTGTTTGAGATTAGAGGGAGATGAATCAGCAGTGTCCATTAATTAATGTTTTGATAACTTCCCCAGTCCATTAGACTGCAGCCCCTGTACCCTAAACACTTGCAGCAATAAACAGATTAAAACTGCTCAAAAATAGTCCACATTATCTTTATTATATAAACATGGTAGGGGATTTTTAATGCACTTTTTGAGTACACTGTTATTATTATCCTAATGCTGTATTTTATAGGTTGTATATAATTTAAAGGTTACAGTTACAGCCTAACCCATTCACCAGCAGAAACTATATTATCGGCTTAACTGACTCATCAGTAAATGATATTAGTGGCTATTAGTGGCCTGCATTTTTGCAGGTTGCAAACAGTAAAGCATTGATACATTGGATGAACGGTGCATCGGCTTACATCTGCGGTGTTGACTGATATCGGCCTATCGACAAGTCAGGTGACATTTACCTATGGCAGAAACATGTTTATCTGTTGTGTCACATCAATCAGTCGGGGTCGCAGGGGGAGGGGTGGTGGGTGGGGGGCTGGAGTCTAGCCTAGCAGATGCTGGGTGACAGAGCTGACAGGCTGCTACTCCATTGCGGGGTTAACATAGACAGACTGATAACCCTTCGCACTCAGACCTACAGCCCATTTAGACTCACCAGTTAACCCATTAAGCATGTTTCTGGGGAGCCTTGCAGGAGCCTTCTTGCTGTGTGGCGACATTGTGCCGCCTTCCAGTTATTTAAAGCAATTAAATAACAGGAGGCACATTTGAAATATACTTTCCCATTTGTATAATTCCTAAATTTACTCTTACTGCCATCCCCCATAAAAAAGCTTTTTATCCAGCTATAACGACTTTACATATCTTCGTTATTGCTTTCTTGTAACCAAATTAGAGGTATCCTTGCCAAACATAAATTACATTAAAAAAATAACATCATCCAGTCATTATTTATCTTAAAATGTTCCGCTTTCAAAATTGGTATTTGACATAAAACTCAGTAATTGTTGCTGAGTGCAAAGATAAATAAATAACAAGGGCACAACATTTAATACTAACTCAAACACCATCAGTCAAATGAAGCAATATTGTCAGCAGCGTGAACCTGAATCAAACTCAATTCTTAAGAAAATTCAAAATATTATTTTCTTTTAGTTGGAAAAGACTTGATTTCCCAAAGCTCTGGAGCAGCTGTTTAGTCAACAGCACACCGCTATCACAAGTATTCCCAGTAGGTTAAATGTGATTTATCTGACAAGGAGTTTAATAGAATAGAATAGCCCTTTATTGTTACTGTACATGTACAAAGAAATTATGGGTGCTCCACGCCAACTGTGCAGGAGTAAAAAAATAAATAAAAATTAAAGACATCAGGAATAAATAGCAAACAGAAGAAATATATACACTCTGGAGGAATATATACAAACTAGAGGAATATGTACAAAACAACAGAAAGGGACACAATGTGCAATTGGTTCAGTCCGGAGCGACATGACAAACATAATGAGACAAAATAGCATCCACCCTTGCTGACAGATGAGAATAAAGAACAAGTTGCATCAAGAACCATTCCAAACTTTCCAATCCATCGGAATCGTGTGCTTCCAAGAATATCAGTTCTGGATTATTTTTATAACAGCTCCCGTGCTGCAAACCCATAACGTCAAACTCATGGCACTAGAGGTTCTGTACACCTGAGTCACAACAAAGTTTTTTTTCCTGCTGTTGCACTCTGTTGAGACTCAGAAATGAAAAAAAGTTCATTTAACCCATGAACACCTAGTTTGTCTTCCCTCCGCAAGAAAAAAAAATATTCAAAAAATTAATCATATGTGAATCGATAAAGAGTCTGCAAGCAGAATCAATAATGGAACTGGTATAGATAGATTTCTTTTTTTAATCAATATCCATTTCTTTACTTGATGGAGAGCAACTGCCAATTTCCATTAGCAATGACAAGAACACAAAGCTGTGACAGACCATATGCAGCACTCCAGCTCTATTTCAGGCTGCCCACCAGCCAAATCTACACCCACCATGTGCTCTGGGCCGGCCTCTCACAGAAAACCAAGGCACACAACCATGCTGCAGCATTTGTGAAGTACCACTGACAGCCAAGTATTCTTTCCTGCGAGGGAAAATTGCTCCAAGTTAGAGTGCGATTGGAAAGCCAGAGGCACTGCACAGGCATGTTGTGCTCTATCAGGACTGCGCTACACGGCGGGATGTGAGCTGTGCGGTGATCATCTGAGACACGCCATGTAGCGAGTGAGAACGCCATGACTGACTGCCACTAAAGCCTAATCCATCCTGGCTCCCACTGTCTATAAGTTACAGAGATGGAAAAGCCTGATAAAAATGTTGTCTGGGGCAGCAGCATCACTGTGTCCAGGAGGAAGAATCAATTCTGTAAGTAATGTCCCACAGAGACATCCAACCCCATTTTTAACAGCCATCTGAATCTTGGCATTTATCCCCGCGGTAAACTTCCCCCTCATCTAAGACAACCTCCTTCCTACTTTATAGATGAGTTATATTGTTGACAAGTTTGTCTCCCTACTTATTTCTCCTCCACTGCATTCCTGTTTTATATCTCTTATAAACCATGTGCTGCTAAGGGCTCACACCTCTAGGACCACTAGTACTGGATTTAGGAGTACAGGTGACAAACCGAGTGGAGATTGGAGGCTGGAGGTTGACGGCAAAGTCTTTCTCTATCTATATAAACTTAAGAAGGCACCTTTGCCTAGACCTAAAGGAAAAGCACAGAACATCAGTCAGTCTTTGATGTGGTGATGTAGCGTAGTCGGAATAAGAAGGATGCCCTGAGCCATACTTTTTGCCTCAACAACTGGTGACCTTGACTTCCTTCTTGGGTTTACTTCTGGTGGGAACTGCACTAGAAGTACAAACAATATTACCCACGGGGTAGGGACAGCAGGACTTGGATTACTTTAGGTTTAGTTTTGCAGCTTGTTTGCTCAAACTGAGCTGCTCTTCAAGCATATATACAGTGTTTGACGGAGACTAACGCACTGCTTTGGTGTTTTTCACCCCTGCCAGACAAACAGAACTGAGTGAAATTTACTACAGCTATCTTCACCATACACAGATAAATGCACTTGATTAGCTTTACTCCCTATTAAAGCGTCAGGTTGAATAACTATGAGACCGCAAAAATAAGAGTGTGCGCGCAAGACAGGCAGAGGACAGTGGAAAGCAGACTGTAAACTGAATTAGCCGAGCCAAATGTGACATCCTGCAGAAAGCAGCACTGTAAATACAACAGTTAAGGACAATCGTGTTATCTTACCACCAATAAACTTCAGCAGAGGAGCGCGTCTGAGCAGAGCTGGCCAACTATGTCACTAAGCCATGTCTCTACCAATAAATAAACAAATAAAAAAAAGAATCCCCTGTACTGGTTTAAAAAAATAAAATAAAAAATCTTGTTATCTAGACTGGAGAAGCATTCACCTGACTGGGAGGACTGGTGAGCGCTGTTGGCAGCGCTGGCAGACTACTGAAACGCTTTCCGCTAATACTCCCATTGTTCCCACCCACTCTGGCACAGCTCCCCTCCCAGCTTTGAACGCATCAAAAACTCACGGATTAAAAAGAAGAAGAAGAAGAAAAAAAATAGCAAAACAGTAAAGCGGCTGTCAGCCGTAGGAGTTACCTTAGCAAGTCAAACACCAGTGAGGACCGAGACGGCATGCCTCCTCATCCTCCCTCCGTGCGGAGACTCCCATTCCTCCTTCTGCGGGTTTCACTTGCAACTTTACATCTAACCTGACACTGTGCGTCCTTTACTCGGTCCGGGAGATTATTTACAAGGCTACCCGCATGCACCCATCTTCACCGAAAAGTGCTCAGTTCAACTATCCCGTCTTGCTTGTCATCCTCCACCAACTTACAGCCACCATGGTTATATTTTGCCAGTTAACTTCCACCGTCGAGCCCAGTTATGTCTTCGGAGGCTTCTTCTAATAGGTTTAAGTCATTTCACGTGGTTTGTTTGCTGGCTGGAGTAGTGCTGTTTTTAATTTACACACGTACAAATTAAACAGCACGGACAGACAAAGGGGAAAATAAGCCGCTGTGTGCCAATACAATAAAGCGGTTCAGGATTGGACGAAAATTACAACAACTTGCCACTAACCCTTTTCTCCAGGAAATACGTCACGTTTAGAGCGAGCGGCTTATAGTGTGCGCTTGATGTGTATCGTCGCAGTCTCCTATAGGGACGGGGCCAGCTGTTGTGTAGCTCGCCTAAAGTCACGCTAATCCCTTTTTTCATTTGACAATAGCAGGATAAATAATAACATTCGTATCATCGTATTATTTTTACTTTTATGATGAACTAGTTAAAAGTCTAAATAAATATAAGAATGGTTAAAGTAACAACTAAAGAAATTGGATGACTGTGTCAAAATTATGCCTGTTTCAAGCTGCAACGCTGATTAGTTTATCCTCACAGGAGGAATTCCGGGACATGACTGTATACAAAACACGCATCCATGCTTTAAGGCTGGCTTGATTTGTACACCTGTGTGTGACTGCCATCTCCTGGATATGAACTGAACTTACAAAAAAACCGAACAAAACAGCACTGGAACCAGTAGAGGGGGCTATAACACAAAGCTCCCCGTTTGAGTCTGACTCGCATGGTTACGTCTACCCCGTTACAGCCTGGTATAAGTGAAAGCCAGCCCGCTTTCAGCAGCTCCAGCGTTATAACACGGACCAAAGTTATCCCGGAATAAGGACAGCACGCATGTGCCGTCAACCCGGATGTAGATATCTTAGTGCGCGTCTATTCCCCGTTTCTCCAAGTTATTACAACATTTGCTGTGAGAAATATTTACAGATCTTAACCCCAGCTGGACAAACCTTTGCCAAACCGGGTTAACCATCCGTGACATGTATCGGGCTACGTGGATGTCACATGAGAGTGACAGCTCCACAGTGGTCTCATTTCGGAGCGCTGCATTTTTGATTTAAGGTGAGAGAAACTACAGTGAGTTGGTATAACCTACACTTTTACTGCATGAGTAATGCATTTAAAATCCAGCGTGTGTCGGCGTGCCTGAAGTTGGCCTGACAGAGGCCGCCTGCTCGTTTTCGCTATCATCATCCCGTGTTGCAGAAATCCTCCTCTAACTTAGACGATGGACTTCCGCGGTAGGAGGCATGAGCGAGGCAGCAACTGGACTGACCCGGAGATTGTGGAGCTGCTCCAGCTGTGGTCCGACGAGTCGGTGCAGATTGAACTGGAGAGTTCACTGCGCAACCAGCGCGTGTTTGACCGTATCGCCCACATTTTGCGTGAAAAGGGCATCTACCGCACAGGAGACCAGTGCAGGGAGAAGATTAAAAAGATGAAGCTGGAGTACCGCCGCATCAAGGACAACCACAAAATGAGGTCTTGGAAGTTTTATGATGTGATGGACAGAGTGCTGGCGAATCGGCCGGCTATTACTTACTCCTCCCTAGGCGGAGCTGTCATAGCTCAACAGGTTTTCCAGACCTCTGGGGCACCTGAGGCATACCTGCAAGGAGTGCCAGCGGGCTCTTTTGGTCCTGCTTCCTCCGGTGGGTTTCTCTTTGGCCAGCCCCCAAAAGCTGGAGATCCGCTGGATATCAAATGTGAAGATGTGGAGGAGAGCATGCTGAACTCCGGAGAGGCACCGCCTGAGATGTACTATGGTTCTGGAGATGATCAGGAAACTGATGGGCAGTCTCTACTGGAGCCAGAAGACACCCTGAGCCGAGCCGAGAGCACACTTAATACAAGAATTTCACCTTCAGGTTGTCAGCCGATAACTATCATTGTTATTATTATTATTATTATTATTATTATTAGTTAGAATCAGCATATGTTTATAAAATTGATAGCAGGCTAAAATCTTATTTCTCTTCTTTACATTCTCAGGTTTTAGTGACCTGAACATGACTGGCTCTGCTACAGCCACCACCTTGGCTGCTGGTGGTCCCGTGTCACACGACACATCCGACGAGCCCAGAAAGGAGGGTTCTCGTCAACAGACCTCAGTGAGACAGAGGAAGCGGCGCCGGGGTGGTAAAACATCATGGTGCCATGGGGGCGGTAGATGCGGTGGTCAGGAGAGACTGGATAAAGCCCTAGCCAGCTTCCTGAACTGGCAGCAGTCTGCAGAGGAACGTCTCCTCTCACTGGAGGAGGCGCGGCTGGAGAGAGAGCTACAGGCGGAGGAGCGCAGGGAGCAGCGGGAGGAGAGGAGGGCAGAACAAGAGCGTCAGCATGAGCTCCGCCTGTTCAGCATGCTCACGGGGGTGTTGCTCGCTGTCAGAGAGGGTACGCAAACCACAACACAAAGCGACCCCGCCACCTCACCCTTAGCTCGTTTTTCAGCTTCGCTGATAACAACGCCTGCCCCCTCTGCTCCTTCATCTTCATCCCAGCCACCTCCAGAGGCTCCCACGACAGAGTCTGTTTTTAATCAGGAGACAAAAAAGTCACAGCTCAGATCTGTCAAGGCCTGCAAAATGTCTCAGAATGCTTTGGAAACACTGAGGGGTGAGGAAGGTCCCGGCAATAGCATCTACCTGTCTGAGCGTGGTAATAGCATCCGACTCCATGAAGGTATCCTCCAGGAGGGCTACATCCAATATGGAATGGACCGGCACCATGATACAGACAACCCTGATGTAAGGGAGCACAATGTTGTAAACACCAGTCACAGATGCTTAAGCATTTATTAAAAGCTCCTTCTTTTTCCAGGGTATTATCAACATGGGGACCAGTGAGAACAAACTTTGTTATGATCTTCTTCATAAACGGGTAAGATAAATATTAGATTCAATGCAGTCTATAATGATATGTGTATAGCCATTTACTTGTTATTACTTATTATTATGAATTATTCTGCCTGCTCTTTGACAAAAAAAATCCCATTTCCTTTTCTGCTACAGCTGACCAAGCCTGACATGCTGCACATCAACCCATCCTTGTTGCAGTATTCAGACTGGAGGGGGCACGCTTTGTAAGACACTTAAATGCACATTTATTTTTAATCTTTTCTTAATGAGGATCACATTTGTTATGTGACTCATGGTGAAGTTACATTTTTAACAACAACCTTTCACTGTGCACATTAACCCCATGACCTTTCCGTCTCGCTCTTTCTCAGCCTCAGGGTGGCAGTTGCAAAATTCCTGACTCGCTACTGTTGTTCTCCAAACCCATTAAAAGCTGACAACGTGGGTATTGCTTTTATTATTAAAATAGTATGCACTGTAAGTAATATATGAAATGTGTTTAAGACGGCAGCCACAGCCAGTTGAATATGTAAAAACCTTAGTGCGTTAAGGGAATCATATTAATAACAAAGGTAAAACTGGAACACCTTTTTATTAATCACTCACCTTGCAGTAAGCACAATCCTGAGGACTTTATACTCTTTCCTGCACAATGCCACGGAGCTATATTGCACAACTCCTATATAATGACTCCATAAATGTTATTGACCCTTAAGATAATAATATTTGACACACAGTATACAGGATAAAGGGTAGAAGATGTAATAAATCCCCAGGTTGTGTAAATAAAGTCCTCATCTTGTGACTCATAGCGATGTCCAGCAAATAACATAATTACTGACAAATAAGCCTTTATTCCACTTTTATACTAATGCTCTGGATTATAGCCTCTCATTTTTATCAAAAATGAAGGATATTGAACTGAATGCTTTATCTCACTAATGATCAAAAAATGTCAAACACTACAATTGAACTGACAGCAGTTCTGGGTTCACCAACTTAATTTGCACAGGAATGAATAGCAGGTTTAGTAGGTGGATTAATTTAAAGCACATTTTTCAGGACTCGTGCCATAATTGGGTCTTTCATAACACAGTGGATGCCTGTGTTTGTCCAGGTTGTGGTGATGAATGGCTGTGGTTCCCTCTTCTCATGTGTTGCTGCAGTCATTTGTGATCCTAAAGGTAGGTTCAGATATGCTTTGATGTACAATTCATTTAATGCATCCATATCTGTACCGTATGAATAAAAATGAGTGCGCGGTAGAGAGGAAGTCGAGTCCGCGTTCCTCTTTTGCTTGTTTAACAGATAATTGGAAGGATTACGCAGACTTATTTTAAAGAAAACACCCAGCCACATAAATTGCGCATTCTGTTTACCTCTGCTGGCGAAGCTTCATTTTAAGCAGCGCAGTAAATTGTTTTGCTCAGTCACAACGTTAAAAAAAAAACATGAGCCTCAGAGTCAGCTGGTATTTACCTATTTACTGCCTACCTGAATCACTAAGGCAGAGTGAGTCAGTCATTAGTGGGATGTTTTTGAAATCAGCAGATGCTTTTCGTTGGTGATTTTGGTTCCATGTTAGCAAAGGCAATGACCAGTAACAACTCAAAATAGTACCAGATATGGCTCAGTTAGCATTTGCTGTGCAGTATATACACCCATGAAAATACAATATGATACAGATTATATGTGCACATTTAGTTATTTGTATACTAAAATGAAAAGTGAGATAATAAAAAAGTGCATATTTTAACCTGTTTTGTGTGTTTTGCATCCCGTAGATGCCATCCTTATTCCGACTCCTTTCTACGGCGTCATCACTGAAGATCTTCATCTGTATAGCGATGTAAAACTCTTCCATGTTCCCCTTGATTGTGAGGTAGGAAGGCACAACCCGAGTTACTTGCAGCATTTTGCATTTGAAATGGATGTTTTTGTGCACACTGGAATGTAATGGCCCCTATTCAGCTGGGCTGCTTTTTCTTTTGTTTTTAAAGGCTGATGGCAAAGATAACCGACCCTTCCGCCTCACTGTACGGAAACTAGAAGAAGGTCTGCAAAGAGCTAAGGAAGAGGTAACGTGTGAAGGCATGCTGGTTTGAAACAGTAACATTTAAATGTTAAAAGAAAGACAAAATTACTCGAGCAAAATTCTCAGCGTAGATAAACACCTTGGATGCTTTGTTCTTCTCAGAGACTTTTTTTTTTTCAGTTTATCTGTAAAGACTGTGAAGGTACAGTGTAGCAGTTCCTGTTTACTTCCAGTTGAACCTGCCATTTCTTTAAGGGGTTGACAATTCGCGGCGTTATCCTGATGAACCCCCACAACCCTCTGGCTGAAATCTACAGCCTGAAGGAAATGATTACCTTCCTGGAGTTTGCCAAAAGGTATGTTTGCCTCACTATTATCTCACACTGCGGCCTAACGCTGTAATCCTCTTGCTCTACATTCCTGTGGTTCCTTTAAGCGCTTTGCCAAGTCACTGCATATAGTTCCTACTGTGATCTGTTTTATTTTATGACGGAGAGCTCTGTCCCGTGTGTGGAATATCAAATGTTCTTGACGGAGTTTTACGACCTCTCTTAATCACCAGCATATTGTCAAAGAGACTCCTGCAACATCTATTGTTTTCTAAATGATCTTGCCAGAGTAATTCCCTGCACAGACCCTTCCAGGCACTGAGCTGTTGTAACCATAAACCACAGTGCTTTTACAGTGACACTGGGCGTTGAAGGAACCGTTTTACATTGATGTTGCATTTTCCTTGTCTTAAATATCCATTAAGAATATAAAACCAGGCCTTATTATTGCTGCACTGAAAATATGTATATATTTATGTTATCTTCCTGTCTCCTTCCCTGCTTTAGAAATGCTCTCCATGCCATTGTAGATGAAGTGTACATGCTGACAGTGTTTGATGAATCTGTCACCTTTCAGAGTGTCCTCAGTGCAGACAGGTACTGCGTGAACCTAACCTCCGCATGATTAGTCTGTTAGACCTTGAATCATCATAACTGCTGCTGAAGACATCCACTTATCTCATAATGATGTGCCCTTATTTCAGTTTGCCCGATCCACAGAGGACGCATATAATGTGGGGAATGAGCAAGGTATGTGCTGTACAGAGGCCTGGAAGTGGAAAACTGTGAGACTTTCAATAACCGTATACATTGCTTTCACAGTTCATTATTTTTCATTGACTTTGTCATGTCCTTTCTAGGACTTTGCAATGGCAGGAATCAGAATAGGCACTTTATATACGGAGAACAGAGACCTCGTGGAGGCTTTGGCCAAATTGGGCTCTTTTCATGGTGTCTCTGGGACTACCCAGCACCAGGTTGCACAACTGCTTCAGGATAAAGGTAAGATCTGAGCTTTTTGTGTTCTTTTGCAGTCACACTGCTGTTGTAACATCAGATTTATCAGAAAAACCACATGGAAAATAATCCTAACATGAGCACAATTTGGACAAAATTATCCAGCACGCTTTACACAAAACAAGCATTTTGTGTATAGCGGAATTTATATTCATAAATGCAAATTACTTTTGATGCAAGCATTTTAACAATTCCACTGTTCTACCTTGTGCGTTCCATGCTTTCAAGAAACACGAGCCTCCCTTTTTTGCTTTCTCTGATATGACAAGCACAGCATGGGGCCTCTGCTGCAGAAAGACTTGTAACATTTAATTTACACTTGCCGACTGTCACTTGGCATTCTCGTGTTGTAGAGTGGATCAATGAGGAATTTTTGCCTGAGAACAGACGCAGGCTGAAAGCTGCGTGCAGCTACTTGACTGGAGAGCTGCTCAGTATGGGCATCCCGTTTCTAGACAGGCCCGCGACACTGTATGTCTGGGCTGACCTTAGAAAGGTAACAAGACCGAAGTCGAATTGAAATGGCTTGCATATGAACGCAACATTCTTCTCATTCTTTTGAGATATATATTCTTTAGGTTTGATTTGTCACTTCTGTTTTGGTAGTATCTCCAAGAGTCATCATTTGAGGAGGAGCTGTCTCTTTGGAAATGTTTCCTCAGGCACAAGCTGCTGCTCAGTTGTGGCCAAGCGTTCTGCTGTTCAGTGCCCGGGTGGTTCCGCATCGTCTTTGCAGACCAACAGCACCACCTTCAGCTTGGTCAGTACCAACAAACAACACTCGTAGTCTCTCTTGGCCAGGCTGTTTATGCCCTCTCAGCCGTTAAAAAAAAAAAGGTAAATGGCCTGTATTTGTATAGCGCTTTACTTGGTCCTAAGGACCCCAAAGCGCTTTACACTATACACAATCATCCACCCATTCACACACACATTCACACACAGCCGTTCACCTACTCTCTGTTTTAGGAAGAGCAGTGAGCCATTAACATTGGACCAGATTTGTTGGTCCAAAGAAGCAGTGAAAAACAAAACTATTGTACACCTATGTTGTTCACAGTGCAAATGGATAATGACACAAGAATACTAGAAAAGCAACCCAAGAGTCTTTCAAAGAAAAGAAGAAATGAGATTGAAAGAAATGGGATGTTCTTCAATGGCCAAGTCAGTGATCTAAAATCAGTTCCTTAATATAAAGCTGAAAGCAAAACAGCTGCAAACAAGCAGCTCTTTTCAGTGGACTCTGGTTCTAAGGTACGATTAGCTGTTATTGCATTGAGGGAGGGAGAGTAAAGGTCATATCCTTTAAATTTTACCACAAATTTCCTGCCCAAGTCCTTTGCTATCCTTGGTCTATTATGAAAAACTGAAAAAGAATAGTTAAACACATGAAAATTGCTCCTTATTCTTGCTCAACATTTATAAAAATGAGGATAAAAATCTTAATTCATTCATTTTCCTCATAGCTATTTTTGAGATAGTGTATGCAGAAAGTTCTTGGCTTGATGTTAACCTCTCCGATTCCAAAAGAAGAAGACTGAGTAGTCTGTAATGACCTAATCGGTTGATTTAAAAAAAAACAAAAAAACATCCTTTAGTTTAGCATTCTAGTACAGCGATATCTTTCAAATTATAATAGTAAAGGCTTTAATTGTTAATATTTAATTGTTTCTGTATTTTTAAATCTACCATAGTTATACTTTGTTTATATGCTATTATTTTAAAGTTTACAGCTTTCTGGATTAAATATGTAGAATGCTTTGTCACCCTGTGCTTATACTAGACAGTGATTAGCACATATTTGTGATATAATTTATTCATTCAAAGGTTTATGTTGTACTGACTTATTTTGTCACTTTGTTTTGTGGTTTTTCAGGCCTTAAGCGAATTAGAGAGGCTTTAAAAGAAACTGAAGCAAAAATGCGAGTCCCGGACAGCAAACAAACCAGTGAGGAGAGCCAAAAGCCAGTAAAAAAGGACAATGCAGGTTCAGACAATGCTGCTACTGTCAATCCAAAAACCTTACCCGAGAACAATTCATCAGATCAGCTGAAGGAGAGGGATAGCCCTGTTCCTGACACAGGCTCGCTGGCCACTGAAGACTGCCAAGCCTCTAAGCCCACAGAGAGTCTTGACACGCTGATCGGTACTCTCAGGCATCAGATCCGTTCCTCTGATTGGCTGGAGAAAAGCACTCCAGAGCTGTCTGCTGGGGAGGACCCAGAAATTTTTGATGTGTTCAAGGTCCTGCTGCAAAGAGCCAGAAAGTAAGCTTAGGATTATACAGGCACGAATGTAGCTGCCAAATTTCAAGAGGCAGTACTTAAGCATCCCTCTTGCTTCCTGTGTTTATGGTGAAAAGCTTGACACAAACACCTGACACAAGGTCAGCTCTGATGTCTGTTTTTGAGGAATGAAATAGCTGAGACCAGGTTAAAGAGAAGTAAAGAAAAAACCCGGCCTGGCATTAAGAACAGGACGGAGTACTTTTCTGTATGCGTCTTGAGGCCTTATTGTTAAGCTGAGAAGTGGATTTATTTGCTGATATTCTAAGTGGATGCCAAATAGAACAACCAAAAATCAGACGTGTCCTAACATCAAACACTACAAGTCTCTTTTCTTATGAATTGTAAATGTTTCTGATTTTCATCTTGCGCGGTTTATTTTGTCAAAATGAATTGTACTTGCTGTAAAGTTAATAGTCCACAAATAAATACAGGACGTATTATTTATTTTCTTGACTGTTATTCATTTAGAGTTAGTAGCCTTTAGCTGGAGATGTGTTATTTTGTGTGCTCTTTGTTTGTTTCAGTGTGACATTATCTTTTGTTCTTTGGCATGGGTGGGCTGTGGGCTCTGTTCCGCTGCTGCAAAGGAAAGTGAAGGTGGTGAGAGTAGAGTGACGAACAGGGGGAGATATCTGATGCTGAAGACGCTATTGGCTGACAACACTTTGTAGCCCACTGTCTGTGACAGCGAGTGGGATTTCCTTAACCGTTTCGTGATGCGTAATGACCCGACGACACCCCCCACACACTTTCTACATGACAAGGGTCTGATTTGTTTATTGCAGTCGAACATAATCGCTGAACTGTTAAGGGACTTGTAGATCGAGCTTTTCGAACCTATTCAACTCTGTTTGCTTTTAGACACATAAACTTCTGCTTCCTCAAATATTGAATGGCTGTTGCTGGAGCTTTCACTTTCTCTATACAGCGATTCGGCAAGTCACAGTGGAGAATTCAAGGGGAAATTTCAGCCCTGATGGGTGGGAGTTTCCACTGCGACGGTGGAGGGTTTGATCTGTTGTGGTTGTAAGCATATTATCTCATATGTCAAATGAGTGCTGGAAGTGTTTGTACAGTAGTTTTGGCACAGCACTACTTTTACACTTTCTTCTACTTTTCGGCAAACTCAAATCAGAGTTTAACCTCACAGCTTGGTTTCTGACAGCTTTTTTCCCTTCAACAACAACAACAAAGGTAAGCCAGGGCTTTTATATTTGTAAAGCTCATTTAAATAATCTAAATGCCAAGGTTACTTTTAAGACAGATTATCCCTCTGTCGCTGAACTTCAGCACATCCTAATTACACTCTTGTTTATCCTCGCCCCTGTCTCTTTTAGCGGTGTCAAAATGAAGTTTCTTGAGCTGGATGACTCGATCGGTCGCTTCAGGTTTTCACAGTCCTGTTTGGGATTAGTGGGGTGCCTGTGTGTGTGCTATGCAGTCTGGACACCTTACTGGGTGAAGGACAGGGGACTGTGGACGGAGTGGAACGCCACTGAAAGCGACCAGACGAATCCTAAAGATGATATTGGCATCAACGGTGAGCCAAACGCTTCTCTGACACCACTCTGCAGTCAACAAATCTCGTATCTGTCTTAAGCTTTCACTCTGTGTTAGGTTAAAGGTTTGACTGACTAAAATGTGTTAGGAAAGGCAGCACATTTAATGAGACTTAAGCACATCTTTGCTGTGCTGTTTTGATAAGACTGCTTCTGCTTGCTTCAGCCTTAGGAGAATTAATTTTTCTCAAGAGAGGATCAATATCAAAAGGGAGATTTGACAAAACGCTGAGTTACAGAAGAGATTCTCTGCAGCAGTAAACAAGTTTGAGCTTGCTTCTGTCCGGGTGAATTGCATTCTTTGTTAAGGCTCAGTTCTGTACTGAATGTGCTTGCGAAATCTTTAGTGAGCTAAAACCCGGTCTTTATCATTCAAATCTCATTTCGTGTCATAAACTGACATATACTGAGTTTATGCTCTTAACAATTAATCTAATATTGTATAAGTCCTCTGCTCTCATACACAAAGAAGGAAAGCAAATGAGAAGGGACTCAAGATAGTTGTTGTCTTTTTGCTTGACAATATATAAAAAAATAACAGTAATAATGGTGATTAGAAATGATTAATGATACAACGAAAAAATATCAGTTATGACAACAACAAAAAGTCTTTTCCTCATGCTGAAAAGAAACTCTAATGAATGAGTGATCAATATTAAGATTATTAAGAAGTACCACAAAATTATTAATTTACTAAAAAGATAAAAATATAGTAAATAGCTGTTAACTGCAATAGTTCAAAGTTGACTTAAAGAGATATATTATGCTGTGTCTGTTCTAAAATGAAAAAGAACGATACTGAATATTGAGTTTCAGGTAAGGAGATAAACATATAAAGGTTATCCCTGAACACTTGGTTTCCTGCAGTTTTCATCAGTGACATTAGCTAATGACATCATTTATACATCTGCTCCTGGCCGAAACCTTGTTTCTTCTCAGGAAATATTTATACACATTCTCGTCAAGCATCAAATCATCTGCCGGAGTAGCAGAATAATAGTCATTTGATGTACCGTACTTCATTTAAAAACCAACAGTGCTGGGAAATACAGTCATTTGGCAACAGCACAATATCATTTTTCTAGGTACTCTTTTAGCGCATCCCACATGTCTCCCCTGGGGGTATTTCTAGAAAAAAAAAGTATATAAGGCTTGTGACAAATTTGTGAAACTTGGCCAGACAGAAGAAAGTAGACATTTAAGAAACAGGGTTTTTTTTAAAAAAAAAGCCCAGAGCTAATAGGTTATTACCTTTTTCCAGTGGACTCTTCAAGTGCTGCAAAACAGCTGGTATTAAATAAATAAGGACTTAATTGAATAGTGAAGTATGGACAGTTACTCTGGTGGAGTGCCAGAATAAAAGTGTAGAGGTGGAAAACAGCATAATCCTGTTTTCCAAACATTTAATCCTAAGTGCACTCACAGATCATTCTCTAGCAAAGGCATTCGAGGATAAAATAAGGGATATATTGTGGGAAATTTGACATTGTGTAGTGTTTATCATGCTCGTAGTGGAAATGAATGTGTAAAAATGAATATAAGTGTAGTTACCCATTCTAATTTTTGTCTGTTGTTTTGTGTCCTGCAGCTCTGGAAGCAGAGAGGGTCTTTGGAGTTCTCTCCTTCCTGATGGCCGTGAGCACGGCTGCTCTGTGTCTGGTGTTTGCCCTCTGCTGGACATCCCAGACGGTGCGCTCCTACTCAAACACTCGCGCTCTCCTCATTGTACAAAAGGCGCTCTACCCCACTACCCTGCTGCTGTTCACCATGGCCCCCACAGGTGTGTAACATATATTCATTTCCTATGACATCCACATATGTAAACACGGTGTTTCTTGGATTTCTGTTATTCTGTTTCTCCATTTCCAACTACCCTCCAAATGGCCTTTTGGTTTATGTCATTCATGTCAAGCTCTCACCTACAGAAGTTGTTTCATGTACTAGTCATTTATGTACCCCGCTGGGGAGCGCACAGAGACTTTATTTTCTTTGGAATTGCAGTTCATTATCATGCAAAGTCTTTCCTAAAGCTCCAGGCATGTAATAATTGTGCTTAATACCTTTTTTCTTTTAGCGGTAATCATACTAGAGTTGACTCATTTTCACCATCTGTCTACAGGTTTCTTCTTCCTCCTGAGCTGGTCTTTTTTCACATACCAGCACCATGAAGAAATCCGTCAGGACTTCTCCAGTCTTGGCTCCTCCTATTGGCTGGGGGCTTTAGGTTGGACCCTGCTGCTCGTCGTGGAGCCGATCGTCTTTATCGTTGAACAGGCTGTCGTGCCAGACATTCTACCTGACTTGGAGAATGCTGTGGCGCCATGGCGGATTTCCTCTCCATCTGAGGCCGACGAACAATCTTTTAGTCAAAGTTCTCATCCTTTTAGCCCCAAAAGCAACAAGGGTGTGATGAAATATATGTCTGAATTTTGAATGGAGTTCAGAAACAATAAGGACATGAATATGAATATGACGCTAAAGGACTGTGCACTGAAAGAATCCTGAAGTCAGAAGAACTGAAGTTTCCTGCTGGGCTTACTGTGGAAGTCATTTTCTGGTTTGTTGACTGGTTCACTGGTTTGTTGATTGAAATGAAACCACAACACACTAAGGACTAATAACATACCAACTAGTGAAATACAAAACTAATGATAGGTTTGTGCCTCAGCCAGGATCAGGTCCAGGTATAAAGGGCTCTGAGTTCAATCTACGTAAACAAGACATTCAGTTAGTACATTTATCTAAATAGTGCTGCTGCGATATATCTTACCTGAAGTCATTGTTATGGCCATGTGACACTTCAAATAGTAATTGTCATGTAAAAGATGATAGGTACTGATTAATGTTGACAGATTTACACATTACAAGCATTTTTGGTCTGTTACATATGTTTTTCTTTTTTTGGAGATTTAACTTGGGTTTATTTATAAACAGATGAGTAGTTCTCAGATATATTCGTGAGCCCAGACTATAATTTCAACTACAGCATTGTTTTAATGCAGAGCTCCATGAGGGCCTGAAGATCATGGCCATTCAGTACTTGTTTTCAGCCGTGTCCCTTATGCACATTTCTTTTAATAGTAGATTGCACTGTAGTTAAGGAAATTCCCACTTGCAAATTCTTTGCAATTTTTACAGTAAGAAACATTGGTGCGCATCAACAGAATCCCAACTATTGTCAGCTAGCTGTCATTTGGCAGGACATGGGGTACATCTTTGAGTGGCTGCCAGTCCGTTGTAGGACTAACAAGAAACAATGTTCTTGAACAGTCTGCCTGCACTACCTTTCACACTGGTGGACTCTTCTCCTTTAGACTTTTGAAACACTCTCTTTTCTTTTCTTTTTTTATACCAAGTCTTTATTAATTGTGAATTTTGTTACTTTGTTGTTTTTTGTTGTTGTTGCCCATTTTGTATTTTTTTTAATGTTATCAAAAAACAATAAAACTTCTCGGTATAACACGTATCTTGTCTTTAAGTTATTTTCAGTAAATACAAGTTTTCATTTAGTTGCAAATGATTCGATTCTGTTTTATTTACACGTAGCAGCTTACATGTTTTTTTTAAAAGTTAAATAGCAGTTGTGTGTGTGTGTATACATTCCTGTGTATACCATAGAAAAGAGCAACAAAAAAGATCTTGGCACATATCCAAACTTTTTTTGTACTGTAACTGTTCAACAAAACTTCGTCTGCCTGTGGTAGACTCTAGCTTTTATCCTGACTAAGCAACCTTCAGCAACTCACAGTTTAAAAAGCGTTGTTCCTTTTAGAAAAGTATCTGGATGTTTTTAAGGGAAGCAGAAGCTTGTGTGGTTGAGCGCTATGGTTCTTTGTTTGGACAGTTGCCCACCAGCCCGTGGGTCTTGAATGTGTAGTGAAGCAGAGTTCTTCCCTTGCAAGTCCTACATCTGCTTCCTTTTTTGAAAAACTTTCATTTCTTGCATGCAGCTGCTGGTTCTGCAGAACATTTGGGGCACCAGACAGCAAACTGCCTCCCAAGTCGTTATTTACTTTCTTTCACACCTTCCCAAGAGGAAAGGAAGCGCTCAGATGCTGGACTGCTCATGTTTATGTTCTCAACCTGCCAAAGTGGGGGAGAATTAAGTGGCTCTGGCTTTGTTAATTGGGCGTTAATCAGGTGTTGCTCTAATTAAAAGGCAGTTCCGCCCTGTTGGGCCCTGGTAATGAGTTTGTTGTTAAATCCAAAGAGGATTTTTGTCTCTTTTTCAATTTACCAACAGGGTAGTGGTTAATTGCTGTGTAAATGAGGGGAATGTCCTTGAAGGTCACGTTGCATCAGCGTGCGATCCATGAACAGAATTGTTCCAAAGAGCTTCCTCATTCTATCTTCAAATTATTTAAATTCACTACAACCTCTTGTATCCAGCTGTGCCTCTCTTGATTCAGTTGCTATTTTTGAAAGAACATTTTTTTTAAACATTATTTGTTAAAATGAGAGACTTAGTAACCCATTTTCTTTGTAAATAAAAGCACTTCTAAAATTGATTTTCTTTTAATCTTAAGTTGCTTTTATTTCCCTTCAGTAGATGCTGTCTGGGCACTTGAAAGAACACAGTCTTTCATGGCTGCCAGTGTCTCATAAACAAACCCTAGCCTTTTCACCTTCCACCACTACAAATGCTGCTCTTTTACCCTCCTGAAAGCATCAGACTAAAGGTTGCGAATGCCTTCAGAGAAAGGCAGGACAAATCAATATGGAGATAGAAAGAAAGAGATAGTGAGACAGTTAGGCACAAAGTAAGAAATGACAGATGAATAGCAGAAGATGTTACATACAGATAGACAGGTGGCCAGATAGTCACAGAAAGATTGCGGGTGTTGATTGTTGAAGGGCATCTGCTATAGAGACATCAATCAGAAGATGGCACCAAGATTGAGTGTTTCCTGCCTGTGGCTGGCAGCATGTGTACAACATAACCTGGGCTAAACCACTGCTCTTCATATCAATTAGAGTCCAATTATACAGCCATGTCCTACTAATTATGCTGCACCGCCACTATGCCAATCCTCAGCATAAAGTATGTGTTTCTCCATGCTGTGTGCCTGTGCTTGTGTTCATTGAGATAAATAAATATCGTCACAGAGTGCCAAGACGTGCATTCTTAATCTGATTTTCAGAGCTATAAGTTTGAATTTTGCAGAGGAAGGAAAAAAACAAACAAAAAAAACCCCAAGAGAGCAAGAATCGCCAAAAACTGTTATTTTCTCTTGTACCTTTTGGTGGTGCTGGTGTAACACCTATCGTTTTGACTTTTGCAAAGAATTCTGGTGAAATGGGGGAGACACTGCTTTCATTTGATGAGTAATGTAATCACAAAAAGTCTGTGCATGTCTGCATGTGTGTGTGTGTGTTTGATTTTGATTTGCAAGGTATACAAAGTGTGATTAATATTCTCAAGCATATTTTGCAGGGTTTTGAGCCAGAATGTGCCAGACTACTTAATAAGTCAAGTTTTCTTTGGCTCGATCTGGGAGCGTGGTGAATTATGAAATAAAGCTGGGACTCCATGCTTTTTGCAGTTTTATTTCTCCGTGGTTTGCATAATTCAGTCAGAACATTTGTAACTTTCCTGACAGGTTAATGCTGTTGGGTTCAAAGTGAAGACACTGAGGAAATACACAGAAAGACAAGACAGCAGGGAGAAACAGACATAAAGATCAGAGGAGGCGAGAACAAAGGGGGAGAGAGGATTTGAGATGTCACAAAATAGTTTCACACTGTCCTTGTATTCTGTGCGTGTCGTGTAGTGTCAGATTTAATGAACTTTGCACCTTTCTCTCCATCCCTCACCACCGCGCTCTTGCTATAGCTCTAAATCTGAGTTTGACCACTGCAGTGCTGTGCCCTCTACTGCATTGTCATCAGTATAAGTGGACAGTCTTTGAAAATGGAAAAGTCAGGAAATTTGATGTCTGCAGTCCTACAATCTCATAGTAAAGCAGGGAGCGAGTGGGAGTGAGAAAGAGAGAGGGTGCATGAGAGTGCACCTTGTGTCCTTCAGTTATTTTTCTCGCAGCCGCTCAGTACGTCTTGCCTGCAGAATCTGCAATGAGACATTGCTCTTTGTGACTGGACCAGACCACCTGGTTACAAGAAGACATACACAGTAGCAGAGCTTAGAAAAGGGAAAAAAGGGAGTTTCTTGATCATTCTGTGATCACTGAATTTAAGTGCAAGATGTGTGTTTGGGGTTTTCTTTTTGTATTGTCAGACTCTTTCTGCTGTCTCTGCCACCAAGTTTGCTTTTGTGTCTTTGAGTTTGGACTTGTGATGTCTGTGGGCTTACCCCTTTTGCCCAGCGGTACCCTTGTTCGTAAGTGGTGTCGCCTTGGACATTTCGGTCTAGACAATAAAGCCGTAGTCACATTCTCGTCACTCTAGTCATCCCTGGCCAGCTGTATCCTCTCTCTTCTCTTATCTCTATGTGACCAAGGAAATTAAATTACAAATATAATCACTTGGCTCCAGTTTCTTTAACAGTGTGTTTCTGCTTTGCATATAGAGTGAGCTTGCACACTCTATATGCTTGCGCACTCTATATTCTATCAGCCTCCAGGAGACGTGTGAAGTTACTTACTGGCCTATTTACGATAATGGGCTCTGCTCTACTTGGGAGTCACACACCTTTTCACAATGACAATGAATGGCATGAGGTGGTAAAGGAGGTAGAGGAATGTAAGACATGGAAACCTTGTTGCTTTAATCTTTGCAAAAATTATTGTGCATAATTACAAGTCTAAAAGGCAGGCAGCGATGATAAAATAGACAAAAAAACTCACTATCGTGACACCTCATGGATTTTAATGCAGTATATGGAGCAATAACAAGAAAAATCTGTCATGAACTTTACTTTTAACCTAGCAAATAATGTGCTATTAACCCATTTAATCCAGAATTTTTCAAATTTTTCAGTGACAGTTTTTTTTATTAAATGGAAAAGTAGGTGAAAAAGTGTAAATAATGTTTCAGCTGTGAGACTCGAGTGTGGGAATTAATATATTTAAACTAGAACACTATGACAACCCCTCAAACTCAAACTCAAAAATTTAAATTTATTTTTTAGTCCTGATATGAATACTGAGACAAAACAAGAAAAAACACAAAAAGCATTATTACATTTTAGTACTGAACATAAATATTGGTGGTGGATGGAGGATGCTGGACAGGCTTGGCATGGTGAAACACACAGTAAGGGTCCACTGATAACATCTAGCAGATGCACAACTTTGAAACATTCCAAGGAATGCTGGGGACATTAATGGACCATGAGCCATACATCTACTGATGTACAAAGTTACAGTTGTAAAGCGGTTAATGGCAGTCATGGAAATAGCATGGCAACCGGATGCTGGACGCCAGAGATGAAGGGAGCTGTCAAGCTTGAGAAGGAGTCCTATCGAGACTGAATAGCTTGAGGGAATTGGGAAGTAGCTGACAAATACAGAATGCAAATCTGACAATAACTGAAGCAAAACTTGTGTGGGAAGAGTTTGGTGAGGCCATGGAGTGGCCCTTAGTTGGCTTTAAGGTGATTCTACCAAACTATATAGCAACACAGGAAGGCATGTCTTCCAATTTCAGGGACATCACACTCCTCAGCTTGTTCAATAAGGTCTACGCGAGGGTGCTGGAGAGGTTTGTTATTTGAACCTTGGGTTCAGGAGCAAATGTGTGGACACATCTTAGTCACAGAACACTGGATGAACTCTATATCTTATCAACAATATTTGAGAGTGTTTGAGAGTTTTCTCAAACAGTCTACATGTAACTTGTGGATTTAAAGCAAAGAATTTGAACATGTCTCCTGGGGTGTCCAGGGCAGTGCTTCAGGTGGATGAAGTTTCAGGAAGGGTGTTGGTGTATCCAGTGCTCATAAGCCCCCATTAACCATGTACAAGTTTGGTTCACATTGCTGACTATAAGTCAGACTTGGTTGCTGGACTCAGTCAGAACTGCCTTTTGTCATCTTTTCTGTTCATGGTTTTTATGGACAGATTTTCTAGGTGCAGGTTGCAGGTGCAGAAGGTTCAGCAGTTTCAGGATTTCACCTCTGCTTTTTGCAGACGATGTACTTCTGCTTGCTTCGCTGACCAAAGACTTCTAGTTTGCACTAAGGTGTTTTGCAGCTGAGTGTGAAGTGGCTGGGATGGAAATTAATACCTTCAAGTGTGAGACCACAGTTCTCTGGTAGAAAAGGGTGGAGTGCCCCACTCCAGGTTGCGAACAAGCTGTTGTCTCAAGTGGAGGAATTTAAGTATCTCGGGGGCTACCTGCAGCTTTTGTGGTTGGTCCCTATGGTAGTGAGAGGCTTTTGGCACTTCATCACTTACAGTGGAGAGGGATGGGGGAGAAGGTGTGGGGAGGGGGACGTCAATGT